TCCTACATGATATTAACCGACCAACATCGCAGGAATGCCCCAACACCCTTCCGTGCTCCTTCATCCCTTACCTTGACCCCAACATCCGACACGGTTTAGGGTTTAGGGTTTAGGGTTTAGGGTTTAGGGTTTAGGGTTTAGGGCAGCACCCCTGAGCGCCTTAAAGCTCTAAGCCTCAGCCCCCCTAGACCCATCAACCCTTCTAAACCCAAAGCCCTAAACCCTACACCCACCCCCAAAACTCCAAACCCTCAACCCCAAACCTTAAACCCTATACTCTTTGCCCTACACCCTAAACCCTAAACCCTAAACCCCAAACCCCCAACCCTAAACCCCAAACCCTAAACCCTAAACCCTACATCCAGACCCGGTCTCCCAGAACGGGCGCCCCCACCAAGCTCAGCGGTTCGGGAGGCGTCCTCGGCTTTGCTTACGGTTTCGGATTTAGGGCTTATAGGATTTAGGGTTTGGGGTTTGGGGTTTAGGGTTTGCATGGTTTAGAATTTAGAGTTTGGGGTTTGGGGTTTAGGGTTTAGGGTTCGGGGTTTAGGGCTTACATGGTTTAGAATTTGGGGTTTAGGGTTCGGGGTCTAGGGCTTACAGGTTTAGGGTTTGGGGTTTGGGGTTTCGGGTTTATTTTTTAGGGTTTAGGGAGGGACCCAGAAAGTAGATCCCTTAATGGGAGGTCCTATAAAATGCCCTTCAGCAGTATAGGGTGCCAAATTAGCGGCTCTACTTTCTAGATCCTCCCGTGGGTCTGTGGTTTATTGTAAGTGGGGCAAGGACGCACAATGTTCAGGGCTTAGGCCACTTGATATGGGAGGCCTTGGTGAGTACTGGAATAGGGTTCTGGCGGGCATACTACCTGTTACTTAAGGAATGTACCTTACATAAGGAATCTACCTTACACTATAGGGGCCTCGGGGTAGAGACTTTGTAGTACGGCTCGGTTCAGGCATTAGCGGACATTTGGTTCGAAAATCCTGGGCTCAGTTCTTAGTTGGCTCAAGTTGTCACATTAGGATAGCCAAGAACCGAACAAGTAGCAAAAGGGAACCCCAAATCCTAAACCTCAAACCTACAAGTTCTGAGTCCTACATCCTGCATGCCCCCCCATGCCTCTAACCCCTAAGCCCTACTTGGAGGTTATAACCCATTCTAGTGGACTTATAACCATACTTATAACTACCCATGAACCTCCAAGTAGGCAATTCTGCTGCCGCTGCGCGACCTTGGCAGGCCCGGACAGTCCCAAACGCCAGAGTCCCAGTGCAGCTGAGTAGTGCAAGCCTGGTCTCTTCTTGCAGACCCTTTGACAATCGGTTTAAAACATCGCAACTTTGTTTGTAGTCCCTCTCCGTCTTAGTAAAGCTCTATTGCACACTTGAAGAATACAAAGTTATTTTCATTAGCAGCTTAGAAGCTTGCGCGACAGCCAGATCTTTGCGGACGAAGGTGGCCTGCACCACCCGTGGCATGCCGACCTCCGTTGATCGGATCTGCCATCGTCCGTGACACGTCGATGCATCTACCTGAGTTCAGTCACCTAATTTGAAGCGAGGTTAGGAAGTCGACAGGAGAACTCGTTTCAGATTATGACTGCTCCGCACATGGGGTTTCGGGCTCTAGCACCAGAGCCTTCAGTGTCACAGCAAGCAAACGCAGCAAGACGGTACACATCTTTCCAACAGGCTGCATGGACTAGCTTGAAGTCGTTCAGGAGAACTTCCATTACCCGAAGATAGTACAGATGATGCGTTTGTTCTTCCAGCCAGGGCAGCTCCAGTATCATCATACGATAACTGGACCAGATTCGTCGGGTGTCAAGGAGATGCTTCCAGATGTACTGGCCGCGATTCACCACAGCAACGAAATTGTTTTGACCGGGGATCTTTGCCAGCAGCACCGGATACGACGAAAGTTCTTCCTCGTTTGTGCAAGCTATGCCACCTTCAGTGTGGAGCATCCCACAGTCAGGCCTCTCTTTCGGACAGCGCGTCGAGGAGCGACCGCAGGTGAGAACTTGCAAGACCAGCTCTGGGTGCAGCACGGTGAGGTCTGCGCCAAACTTGTTCCAAGCGGCGTCCCCTGCCTGGGTGATGATGGTTTAGAAGCAGTTTAATACAGGACCTGAATAATGAACAAAATCATTTCTTAGGGTTCCTTAAGATAGTCTTACAACACTGTACCCCCAAAATCATTATCGAAGCGCCTGTGTTGCAAAGGCAACACATCGAGGGTGCTGGGTTCCTGATAATATAGGGGACGCAGCAATTAGAATAGGGCTTCGGGGTATTTTATAGTACAAGTATACTCAGGAACTCGCAGGAGTACTGTTGGTAATTCTATGGGCTTCTATTTTGAACTCCTCCCGACAAAAACAAATCAGAAAGCTCAATCCGGCCACAAGCTTGATTGGTGGTGTCACTCCTTGCCCCAGCAACTCCTCACAGATGGCATATCCTCGGCTCCCACGTTTAAAGGAAGCTACAGGTGGGGA